TTCTCTCTTTTCACTCTCTCCCTCATCTTTTCTCACTCTTCTCACCTCCTCACTCCCCTTTTTCACTCTCTCTTCCACTCTCTCACTCTCTCTCGCTCTCTCTCCCTCTCTCTCACTCCACCCCTCTCTCACTCTCTCTTTTCACTCTCCCCACTCTCTCTCCTCACTCTCTTTCACTCTCCACTCCTTCCCACTCTCTCACTCCTCTCCTTCTCTCCTCACTCTCTCACTCTCCTCCATCTCTTCTTTACCTTCTCTCCCTCTCTCTCACTCTCTCTCTCACTTCTTCTCTCACTCTCTCCTCTCCCCTTCCACCCCTTCACTCTCCTCTCACTCTCCTCTCTCTCTCTCCTCTCTCCTTTTCACTCTCCTCTTCCCCTCTCTCTCTCTCCTCTCCTCTTCTCTCACTCTTTAAAATTTTTTATTTTTTTTTATTTTTGCTGTTTTTGAAGGAAAAAAATCTATACTACATGTTTTTAAAAAGATATTTCCCAAAATGAGGGGTCAACAAATCCCACATTTTTCAAGTACAGTTAACCCGGGGTTGGGGTAAAAAAAAATGGGTGGTTTGGGTTAAAAAGTATTTCTAATTTTTGGGGTTTTTAAGGGGAAAATTTTTTAGTTTTCCCTTTTGGGGCCTTTTTTTTTTTACTCCCCGATTATTTTTTTTTGGGGGAATGGGGGGTTTTAAACGAAACTCATTCTTGGGGAAAAGGGGGGTTGTATTTTTTTTGTTTTTTCCATTTTCTTTTTTTTGCATTTCCAAAAGTTTTTGGGTCAAAATTTTTATTTCTTTATGTTGTGGCTCCTTTTCCCTTTTTGGGCAATTTTTGTATTTATTTATGAGTAAGGCGATGAGGGGATCAAAAAATTAAGATAAAGAAAAAAAAGGGATAACAAATTTGGGGAAAAGGGAGAAAAAAGGGAAAAGGAATCTTTTTTTATTTTTAGAGTTGACTTGTCACAATGGGGTTTTTGAAGGATAGGTTAAAACCCTACAATTTTATGAAGGAAAAAAGGTGGGGTGGTGCATTTAGGGATATGTTTGGGGGCAAAAAAAAAATTTTCTATGGGGCAAAGAAGGGAATGTATGGGAAAAAATAGTGGTACCCAAAACCTTACAGGGGGTGAAGCTTGGGGTTTTAAATGTTGCAGTAGGAAGGGAAACTGGGGGCAGTGGAGAGTCCTGTCTAAGGGGAGGGTATGGTGTAAATTTATCAGAGAATTCGGGGGTGTGGAAATTAGGAAGTGTTTGGGGTTACTAAAAGTATTATCAGGGGCTGAAGAGGGGTTTGGGTTTAGGGGGTTTGGTCCCTTTAGAGAGAATGGGTCAAAGAATGACTTGGGAATGTATAAACGGGAGGGGAAGGAAGGAGGGGTAGGGGTATTTTCCCCAAAAAGGTTGGAGGGAGGGGGAAAGGGGTTTTTGGGCAAAGGGGGTTGGATTTCGAGCAAGCGTTTTTGTGAGCGGTTTTGATAGGGTGAATGGGGGGAATGGTTTTTGGGACCTGACAACTGTTTTGGGGTGTGGGCAGGGGAATACTTATGAAGGGATTTTGGGAACCCGGTTTTAAACCCGACTTGATCCTGGAAAGGGGGAAATTTCAAAGCCTGCACTTTTTAAATGAGGGGTTTTGGGGTACCCGGGAGTTGGAGGTTGGCTTTTGAAAAATCATTTCGAAACCCCCCATATCTACCTTTTAACTTATTTTTTCCTCTTTTTCACAAAAAGTATTATTAAACCAAAACCCCCTTCTACCCCATAGCTCAATTAAAGGCTCCCCCTTTTATTTTTCCCCTGGCAACCCCCCAAATTTTCCTACTTCTCCCTCCACAAAATTTTTTCCCCTTTTTGCATTGAGAAAACCCGGAAACCACAAATACCTCTCACTTGGTTCAAAACCCCCACACACTCCCCCAACCCTTTCCTTTAAAATTTTCTCTTCTCCTCTACACTTTTTCTTCTCCAGGTGCCCCTTAAAACCCCCTTTTGTAACCCCCCTTTTTACATCCAACCCTTATTTTACTCCATATAATCCTAATTTCCCTTAATTTAATTTCCCTTTAAAATTCCCTCTTTCCTGCCATAATTTATCCTTTAAAGTTTTTCTCCCCTTCTTTAAACTTACTCTGTTTTTAAAAACCCCCGACCTAAATTCATTTAAATTTTTCCCCCCCTGAAACTCTCCCCCCAGCTTTGTTTCACTTAAACCAGGGCACCAGCTTTCTTCGATTCATAAAAAATCCACAGTCATCTCTTCTTATCATTCGCACAGTATCCTGTATACATTATTAAAGTTAAAAATAGAACCTTTCGTTTTTCTTTTTGGGCCAACCTCCTTTGGTGGGATACGGCCAGTTTGTTGAAAGAAAGAATGATCTGTAGCTGGACTTGTCTAAGGTGGGAAGTACAGTGCTTGCATTTTCATAGTCAAGTTAGGATGTTGCATATGTGGATTCATTATTGAATCATGATTCTTGTGCCTTTCTGAGAAATAAACAGCTAGGAACATGTGATAGTGAATCATTTTTATTTTTTTTCCAGAAGACCATCCGCCAGCATCCTAAAATATCATTAACCTCATTTCTTTAATTACTTGATTGGTTCTCAAGTAGATAGGAAACTTATCTATAAGATATTAAGTACCCACATTACTATATATATTCATCAACTTAGTTTAACCCTTTCAGGGTCAACAGGCCCTCTCAGAGACTTGTTCTCAGGGTCGCCCAAATTTAAAAAAAAAAAAAAATTCTAATGAAAAGATAGAGAATCTTTTCCCGATCATAATGACACCAAAAGTATGAAATTTGATGGAAAACTTACGGAATTATGCTCTCGCAAAGTTAGCAGTCTCGACGATGTTTACGCATCAGCGATTTTGCCCACTTTGAGCTCTATTTTCGGCCAATTCCAGTGTACTTGTCAACAAAAATCATAACTGTTTCGCTAGAACTCCATTTTTTTCTATCAAATGAGTACAAGAAACTGCCCATTTACCGATTTCAACATCCAATACAGTGGTCAGATTTAGCAAATTTTGCCAATTTCACACAAATTTCAAAAGATGCCAATTTCCGAATAGGGTCCAGAATAAACAAGAAAGACATTCCTGGCACAAAATAACATTTCCCTGTTTTATTAGTCACAAACCCACGCCCCTCTTACATTCTTTTGCTTTCCACTTTGAATTTTATTCTCACAAAAAAATAGAAGATATACTGTTATGCAGACTACTGCATTAGTGTAGAATGGTATAAATAATATCGGCGCACTTGTGAAAGAATATTACTCACCAGTTGACATGTATTGGATGCTTAGCATGATTGGGTTTTCTTTTGAACTTTGTAAAAATCGAACATTTCTGCTACTTCAAGCTCAATTTTTAAGGTACTTTCTTTGTAAAAAACCCGTCAAAATCATCTCAATTTCTGTAATATGTCTTCCATTCTATAAAATGAGACCAGGAAAACTAGAATACAACAATAAATACCATACGAAAATACAGTGCAAAGTCGCTGTTTTAATCCAGAAACACAGTCAAAGTTTTTTTTTTTCTCTCATTACGCACTGTGTGCTGCAGGATTTTTTTTATACTGCGCACACTGACCACATAGACCCATTCTTTCATATGTAGGCCCTCCAGCTTTCTCTCACTAGATTTGAGGGCGCTAGAATTTAGGCATACTAGTACGTCAAAAACCCTGGTGTGTAAGCCGTACTAGTACAGCCGAAACCCTGAAAGGGTTAAGGAGGCAACAAACCTTTTTTGTTGATAAAAAAAAAATTAAATTGAAAAATTATGGAAAACAATGTTTTCTTACCAAAAAATAGTGCATAATTCTGGCAACATGTTGATGGCATCAGCTTGTTTCTATCATATTTCTAAGTTTGTTTTTCCACAAATATAAGTTTTTTTTTTTTTTGTTCTTGCTATCAGCAAGAGGATAGAATAGGGCACTATTTTTTTTTTTTCCTATCTAACTATAAGGAAAAAAGGTCACTAAAAACAATGTCTAGGTTTCAAATGTTGCTTAATTCACAGTAAAAATTCCATTGAAATTCGACCAAAAGAAAAAAAAAAGACAATTGGACTTGTCACCCCCTTATATACATGTATTTTGGTTGGTTTATCTACTTTTCATATGCCATGTCAGGTTTGAAAAGTTCATCATATTTTGCATAGCATTCATCATCTGATATATCTAGTCTCCTTGACATGTAAACACAGTATTTTAGACATTATGTAAATAATTTTTTTTTTTAACACAGTGGCCATATCCAGTCAAGGCAGGGTGACAGAAAGAAGAAAACACATTAACAACATTTACTCATTTGCCATTTTTCCAGAAATGTGCTGACATCACAGTTAGATTTCCCCTACGACTGCAACATCCCCACACCTCATATTATTTTTTCCCCTATTTTCTCATCAATATACGTACAGTGGACCCCCGGTTTACGATATTATTTCATTCCAGAAGTATGTTCAGGTGCCATTACTGAACGAATTTGGTCCCATAAGGAATATTGTGAATTAGATTAGTCCATTTCAGACCCCAAACATACACGTTCAAACGCACTTACATAAATACACTTACATAATTGGTCGCATTGGGAGCTGATCGCAAAGCGGGGGTCCACTGTACTTAGTTTCTCCCATCCTTTAGCCCTTGCAACCTAAAATTTTGTTCTCTTAGAATCATAAAAATAATCTATATTCAACAGTAGGAAAAAATAATGAGAATACTTTTGATCTAGCATGAGGTCTTATTCAGGTAATTGGTTTCAATTTCTTTTGTAAGATTCTACACCTTTGCGTTTCGTTACATTCAATGTTACATTTTGCTGATATATTCCTGCAAAAAGTTTTTGTTTTATCAATAAATGTTATATGTTTCTGCATGTAACTTGATAGTTGCAGCTACTTTGCTCTTCAGTAATTGCTTTAATGTACCAGTTGTTTTGATAAATATATGTATATGATTACCTCTTGTAGAATATCTGCATCAGTAGTTAGATTCAGATTTCATTGCAAACATTGCATACATGGGTTGAATTGCCATAGTCCACTAAAGTTGCTGCATGCTAGCTCTCCTTTTGAGACCCATCTAGTGTTATGAGCTGATCTTTGTTACATATGTGTATTTATTACAGGTCGGGGTCTGAGTGCTGCAGCTCTGGCTCAGATTGAGGCTGCTGCAGAGTTCAACTGGGAAGACTACCTCATAGAGACTAACTCAGTACCATCTCCGGCCAAGTGTTATAAACAGGTAATTGAAGCAGAACCCTTGTTATTATTTTAAGTATGATACATTTTTGGCTGTTGTGTAGACAAGTTGGGCACGTTTTTCATGAACTTCTCTCTAAAATTCCCCCATTCTGAGACTAGACTTTCTTGTTGAATGCCTGATTAACTGTGTTGTAGTTTGTAGTTACTTGTTTGAGGATGCATTCTGCTCTTTGGTCATATTTCTGACACTTGGTGTTTATTAAGATGTGCAAAATGCACATAGTTAGGACAGGCAGCAAGGTTAGAGGGGTCCGTTGAAACTAGTCATAGAGTTACTAATTACAGAGAAGGTAACAAAGACATAACCAAAAGTTATAAACCATTTTTTTTTTTTTAATGTATCAGCCATCTCCCACCAAGGCAGGGTGGCCTGAAAAAAAAAAACCTTCATCATCATTCACTCCATCATTGTCTTGCCAAAGGCACGTTTACACTACAGTTATAAAACTGCAACATTAACACCCCTCCTTCAGAGTGCAGACTCTGTACTTCCCATCTACAGGATTCAAGTCCGGCCTGCCGGTTTCCCTGAATCCCATTCATAAATGTTACCCTGCTCACACTCCAACAGCACGTCAAGTCCTAAAAACCGTTTGTCTCCATTCGCTCCTAACACGCTCTTGCATGCTTGCTGGAAGTTCAAGCCCCTCACTCACAAAACATCCTTTACTCCCTCTCTCCAACCCTTCCTAGGCTGACCCCTACCCCACCTTTCTTCCACTACAGATTTATACGCTCGAAGTCATTCTGTTTCCTTCCATCCTTTCTACATGTCCAAATGAACCAATACCACTCGCATTATCTTTTCTACCACAGTTCACATAATCTCTTTTACCACATTGGCTGTTTCCCACCAAGGCATGGTGGCCCAAATATGGAAACACTTCCACCACTATCAATTCAGTAGCTGTCTTGCCTCTGGAGCAAAGACTACATTATTCAAATGAATCTAAACTGCAAGATCCTTCATCTTTCAAGAGTGTAGGCCCTGTGCTAAGTACCTTCAGGACTTGAGTTCTGCTAACTGGTTTCTCTGAACCCTTCATAAATATTACCTTGCTCGCACCAACATGTGAAATCCCAAATCCACTTGTTTTCACCTTCTGCAGTCTAACATGCCCACATATGCCTGCTGGACGCTTAATCCCCTGACACTCAAAACAAAATTTACACCCTCCCTTCTTTGGACATTCCCTACCCTTACTTTCATCTTCCTCATACTTGTATACTGTCTTGCTCAACCTATTCTAAATGACAAAATCATCTGAACAATTTTTTATTATTATTTTATTATCACACTGGCCGATTCCCACCAAGGCAGGGTGGCCCGAAAAAGAAAAACTTTCACCATCATTCACTCCATCGCTGTCTTGCCAGAAGGGTGCTTTACACTACAGTTTTTAAACTGCAACATTAACACCCCTCCTTCAGAGTGCAGGCACTGTACTTCCCATCTCCAGGACTCAAGTCCGGCCTGCCGGTTTCCCTGAACCCCTTCATAAATGTTACTTTGCTCACACTCCAACAGCACATCAAGTATTAAAAACCATTTGTCTCCATTCACTCCCATCAAACACGCTCACGCATGCCCGCTGGAAGTCCAAGCCCCTCACACACAAAACCTCCTTTACCCCCTCCCTCCAACCTTTCCTAGGCCGACCCCTACCCCGCCTTCCTTCCATTACAGACTGATACACTCTTGAAGTTACTCTGTTTCGCTCCATTCTCTCTACATGTCCAAACCACCTCAACAACCCTTCCTCAGCCCTCTGGACAACAGTTTTGGTAATCCCGCACCTCCTCCTAACTTCCAAACTACGAATTCTTTGCATTATATTCACACCACACATTGCCCTCAGACATGACATCTCCACTGCCTGAACAACTCTTCTCTAAATTATTTTCATACTGTCTTATAACTTCAACACTCAGTAAGTTCAGCTTTTGTGTGCTAGGGTCTTGGATGTTCAGCAGGCATGTATTAGATTGGAGTGAGTAGAAGCAAATGGATTTTGAGATCTAATGAGCTGTTGGAGTGTGAGCAGTGTAACATTTTGTGAAGGGATCCAGGGAAACCAGTTAGCTGGACTTGAGTCCTGGAGGTGAGAAGTACAATGCCTGCACTCTAAAGGAGAGGTGGGAATATTTGCTGGTTAGAGGGACATCTGAATTATCCTATCTGCACACCTCTGGCAAGACAGTGATAGTGTGAAGGATGGTGAAAGTGTTTCGTTTTTGGGTCACCCTGCCTTGGTGGGAGATGGCAAGCATGTTAAAAAAATTAAGTTTATAGACATAAACCACCCAGGGTTTTGCACTCTGACAACATTGTTGGTCATCTCTTGCTGTCTCATAAACATGTATGATGACAGGTAAATCTAACAAGTTTCTTGCTTAAATTTGATATACACTTTACCTCTTGTTTTTCTTAATAGCTCTTAGTCCTGTAACATTTCCTTTCCAATTTAAGAGGCCTGGAAGTAGATCGAGTTAGGGGACGATGATCCCTGGAACCAGTAATGAGTAGCACACCACACATGGATCTCAAACATTACATCCCTGTTGCTCCAAACTTCATCTTTGCTGCAACATTTAAAAACCATCCTCACACCCATACGGAAGTATAGGTGCCGCTATTCCGGTATATTTGAAATGAATGGAAAAAAGTGGTTTTTATGGCTTTACATGCAGTTGGAGTGTTAGCAAGATTAGATTTATGAAGGGATTCAAGAAAACAGGTTAGCTAGACTCGAGTCTTGGAGGCAGGAAGTACATTAAACCCTTAAATTAACCGACTTTGAAAATACAGGTCAAAATTCACTGGGTCATTTGCTTCACAGTCAATAAAAACTATTGGTTATATAATTGTCCATGATTGTTGGCCACAATTGTCATTACTGTCCACCTGCTACCTCCTGTTAATGGGTTAAATGGAGGATTTACTGTAGACAGCAGTGTCTGTACTCTGAAGAAGGGGTGGAGTTGGTGTAGTTTGGAGGGTCATTTGAATTGTAATGTCTGCACACTTCTGGCAAGACAGCTATTGAAGGAATTACAGGAGGACCCCACTTACACAGCAGGTTGGGATCCAGGCTACTGCCTTATAGGAGGACCCTGCTTATACAGCAGGTTAGGTTCCAGGCTACTGCTGTACAGGAGAGCCCTGCTTATACAGCAGGTTAGGTTCTGGGCTGATGCTGTAAAGTGAAAATTGCTGTAAACTGAAATATAGCCTTTTTTCACTTTCAAATGCATGTAAAAGCCTGAAAACATGTTTACAGTATTATATATTAAGTGAGCAGTAGAGCTAGACCTAAAAACTGCATATACAGCACATGCATTACTTAGCTTAAAATATTTTTGTCCTTAGCTTAGTGAGTGGTGAATATATTTGTTGTAGGAAGTCTGAATAAATAAAGAATAGGTATAACTGAAAACTGGTGCATTAGCGAAACACTGTAGAGCAAAGCGTTCTAAAGTGGGGGCCCACCTGTATAGTGAATGTATCCCCTTTCTCGGACCTACCTTAGTGGAAGATGGCTGGTTTGTTAAAAATAATTAAAATGTCTGAAAAATTGCTAAGGATCCAATTTACTACCTTTTAAATAGGAATGAACTATAACATTCAGGTAACACGGCTCAAGTGTGAAAAAATGCTATTTCTCATAATTACATGTACTGAATTATTGTGATAGATTTTATATAAAATTAGCTTTTAAATTGTGGGAATTTTTTTCCCTACAGTAATGTAAAACATTTAAAATTAATTGTAGCTTAATAAGAGATATGAGTACCCTTTGCTTTTATAAGCATTGCTACACACTTTGGCGTAGAATTGACCAATGTTGAACATATTTTGGCAAGTTTTTCGTCGTGGTATCAGGTTCTAATAAAACCAGCAATTAGCTTCTCCACAGTTGAACAGTCCTGTTTTGCAATCCTGCCTTTGTTCATTGCCCATAGATTCTCTATTGGGTTGAGGTTAGGAGAATTTAGAGGTCAATTTAAAACATTTAGCTCACTCTCTTCGAAGAATGTCAGCATTTTTCTGGAAGTGTGACATGGATCAAGATTCTGCTGAAATATGCCTTCTCCATCAGGAAAATCTCTATTCACAATGGGAAGCAAATGAGTAGCCAGGATTTCCTTGTATTTGTCACTGTTCATCATTTTTTCAACAATAACAACTGTCCAGGGCCTTTAACAGTAAAAGTACCCCAAAACATCATCTTAGGAGGGTGTTTCGGCACTTATTGAGTATGTCCATTCCGAAGAGGTTCGCCTTTGCTCCATCTCACTACCACTAATCTGTACTTCTGTACTTCAGAATACATCTCATCTGATTATATAATTTTTCTCCAGTTATCTGTCATCCATCCCTTATGATCAAGTGCCCACCAAGGCTGTTTTTTTTCTTCATAGCAGCAGCCAATTGTTGTTTCTTTACCAGCTTTCTGGAAGTTCTGCCAGCTTCAAGGAACCTTCTTCGAACAGTTGAAGAATTGACATTTACGCCAGCTGAAGCCAAATCTCTCTGTAGGTCTTGACTGGTTTTCTTGGGATCCTTCACACTATTTCTTATGATAACCTTCTCATTCGTGAGGTGTTGCTTTACATTTTCTTCCACATCTTCCCTGACACAGCATTCCACAATCACCAATGTCATCAACTCTTCAGAATCTGAGCAACAGTTGACTTTGCTAGGCTCAAATTTTTGGTGATCTGTCTGATACTCAAATCAGCATGTTTTCTAAGAGCTACAATACATGCATGCTTCCTAGGTGTAACATCATCATGAATTTCAGCAGTAATCATGAACTGAAGATGAGAATTTGGCAAAAACCATATTCACTCATGGAGCACACTTGCAGGAATAGCCTTACAGAACAACAACTGTTGTAGCACTGACAAGAGTTGCAGGGTAACACCATAGCTGGATGGGTGCCGGAAGTTGGTAGGAAATTCTTCTGAAAAAATAAG